TGTGAAAGCGGGGCCCACCCGGCCCTGCCCGCCCAGCCGGTAGCCCCAGCAGGGGCTTCTGGCCTGGGACCACGTGGCTGCCCCAGCGTGGGAAACTCAGGTAAAGGGGGGTGGGGGCAGGGGAGGAGCTGGTGCAGAGTGCAGGGAAAAGTGGCCCCTCGCCTGCCCCATGGGCCCTGCTCCCTGCTGCAGCTGCTCGCAACCTGAATGGGGTAGGCTGTAGTGAGGTTGCCACTGCCACCTCTGGGCTGCCCAGTACACAAGCTCCTGGAGGGCAGCAGCAGCAAACACTGCCTGGCATGGTAAGGCCACAGCTGCTGCCGCCGTGCGCAGCCCCAACGGGTGAGCCCGGAGCCGGCACAGGGCCGGGTTACAAGCTGGTGCTGAGTGCAGGGAAAAAGCTGCCCCTCCCCCGCCCCATGCCCGGTGCCCCGCACTATACCTGCTCGCAGCCCGCGTGGGGCTGCCTGTGCCTGCTCCAGACAGCCTCATGTGGGTTGTGAGCAGCTGCAGCAGGGAGGGTGGATGAGGGGCCGCTTTTGACTGTGCTCCGCACCAGCTCCTTCCTCGCTGGCGAGCAGGGGGTCAGGGCTGTGAGCTGTCCCCCGCCTATACCACGGGGCTGGGGTGGCACTGGGAATGAGCGGGCGTGGGAGCACAGGGCCCGCATCAGTGTCCCAGGGCCAGCACCAGCGGGGCCCAGAGCAGGGTGGCAAGGGTACAGGGTCCTGGCTGGCAGGGGCTCTATGGAGCCGGGCCAGCTCCACCCTCCCCCTGCTGGTGCAGCCCAACCTGGCTCGACAGATCCCTGTCCGCCTGCACCCGGCTCTGGGCCCTACCAGTGTTGGCCCTGGGACATTGGTCCCAAGATGGTGACCAGGGGGTCAAACCATTTCTCATGGTTTGCTTCTCAGTCTTACAGCTCCTTAAAACCCAGTCATGTAGTGCATTAAATAAGTCACTAATTAAATGCTTAAATATATGGGAACGTGCATAAAGAATGAATGACTAAATAACTCATCTATTCAGCAGATAGAAATACATGAAATCAGGTTAAAAAAAAACCCTGGGATGCACAGGAGTATGCTTCTATATTCCCCTTAAAGTGTAACTGAGCATACACATGCATATTTTCCCTCTCTTTAACAACAGAAGTTACATGCTCTCACTGCCTATATTAACAATTTTACTTTGATATTTACCAGTGTTGCTACCACTGCAGTAATGTCACAAGAGCCAGTATTGACTGCCCAAGTATATCATATAACCCTGCAGAATCTCGCATAGCTCTGGGCAACATAATGCGATTAAAATGCCTGTGGCCCCTTGTCCTTATAAAAGAACTCTCTCATTGTTTCTAACAGTGGTCTAGTGGTACCATCTGGAAGAAATATGGGTATTAGTATAAAAAGCTGGGGTAGACAATCCAAGAGGCAAAAAGAGTTCTAAACACACCACTTATTCAAACCTTTCTTTGAAAAAATTTTCAGTTGAAATTTCAGAAGTAGATTTGTCATTTAGAAACTGCTGCTTGCTTAGTAACTTTCAGAGTTAATTTTAGTCAATTTAAGTTTTATAACATCCTCTATATATCATTTAGACTGTCACTTCTGAGGTCCATTGGCTTACTGAAACTGGTTGAGGTGGAGGGGGAAGACAATACTAATGTCAGAAGCTCTTCCTTCCTTCCCTTCATTTTTTTTAAGGTCAGCATCCTGGTTTTATTTGGAAACATGAAAGCAGGAAAACTAAAACTTCAAGTGCATTTCAGGGCATTCCT